CGTCAAGACGGACCATTCTACACTCCGGAGAAAACTGAATTCAGACCCGCTGAACGGCCAAAAGCAGTTAAACCACAGGATAATTTGCGAACCGATGAAGGCGATTTTGTTCGTCCCGAAAAAACGAAATTCATTCCAGCCGAGCGTCCACAACAAGTTCGGCCAGAAGATAATTTGCGTCAAGATGGACCATTCTACACTCCGGAGAAGCCTGAATTTAGACCTGCTGATCGCCCGAAAGCTGTTAAACCTCAAGATAATTTACGAGCAGACGAGGGTGATTTCGTACGACCCGAAAAACAACAATTCGTTCCTGCTGAGCGTCCACAACAAGTGCGTCCGGAAGATAATTTGCGACAAGATGGGCCATTCTATACTCCGGATAAACAACAATACAAGCCAGTTGAACGGCCAAAAGCTGTCAAACCCGAAGATAATTTGCGTCCAAATGAGGGTGAATTCCAACAACCCGAAAAACAAAAATATGTTCCAGCCGAAAAACCGAAACAAATTAAACCAAAAGACAATCTAACCACTGGTGTCGGTGAATTTATTGTGCATGAAAAAACACAACCAAGAGGTAACATTTCGATTCGCTTTTTTATTTGCTTACATTCCTTTCTATTCACTCAAAATAACCGGTTTTATAATGGTTTTTTCTTCTACAGGTCCAGCCGAAAAGCGAACACCAATTAAACATGATGACAATCTTAAACCAGGCCAAGGAAAATTCGTTACCCCAGAGAAGCAAAAATATCAACCGGTCGAACGTCCCAAACAGGTTAAACCAACGGACAATCTGAAAACGGGTCAAGGTGAATTTGTAACTCGCGAGAAAACAAAGTATATTCCAGGCGATCGTCCAAAACAAGTTAAGCCTACGGATAATCTGAAAACAGGCGAAGGTGATTTTGTTGCACCAGAAAAGAATAAGTACATTCCAGCCGATCGACCCAAGCAAGTTAAACCAACCGACAACCTTAAAACGGGCGAAGGTGATTTTACCGTTCCGGAGAAAACACATCCAAGAGGTAAGAAATCGTTGTGTTAAGTTAAAAGTAAAAAAAATGAATGAAAATCGATGAAAATGAATATTTTTCATGAATTTCTTAGGTCCAGCTGAAAAAAGAACACCGATCAAACATGATGACAATCTGAAAACGGGCGAAGGTAAATTCATAACGCCAGAAAAGCCAAAATATCAACCAGTTGAGCGTCCAAAACAAATTAAGCCGCAAGATAATCTCAAGAGTAATGAAGGGACTTTTGAAAAGCCACAAAAGCCTGGATTCAAACCGGCCGAACGAGCCAAACCCGTTAAACCGGTGGACAATTTGAAAACTGGTGAAGGTGAATTCGAAGGACGCCGCAAAATCGATACCATACAAACAACGAAAGTAGATCGTGTTGTGGTCAAAAAACATACCGATCAAATAACACTCAACGAAGGACGAATGGAAACGGACACCACTAGTTCGACGACATTTAAAAAGCAACCGGTTCAACGAAATGTGGTCGAAGATATTGTTAAAAAGCAAAAAATGCGCTCAAACATTACACTTGGCGATGATACAACCATTCTTCGTACGACCAATCAAATGAATTACAATACAATAACAACGCACAAAGATGAACGCGTTGAAAAGCAAACGGATGTGACCGATACAAATCGTTTACGCGATGGAACGATTGCAATAACAACGATGAAGGTGACAACCATTTTGGAGAATGAAAAAGATCATACACCAATCAAAGAGGTGATCCGCAAGGCCGGTACAACGAATGTTCGTGAAGAAGTTGTTCGCAAAACGACCGATTCCGATGTGATCAATCGTCAGAATATTGTGAAAGAACAACATCATGTGAATGAAGTGAATCAAAATGTGGTCAACAAGCGATATGTTGTCAATCAACGCGATGTTAACAATTTGCAAAGCATCGAATCACGTAAAATAATGAATCAATCGCAAATTACTATGGGTGATACGGCCAGTACAACACAACGTACAACAACAAATGATACACGTGGACCTGGACCACATCAACGGCCCGATCAATTGAATGGCACACGAACAAATCAACATCAGCATTACACATCGAATATCATTTCCAATGATAAAAATGTGATAACTGAGTCCATCACAAAACAAACATCGGATACAATCGATCGCAGTGGTTCAACAGTTCATACAAAAACAACATCACGTGATGACACCACTAAACAATCACATCAACCAACTGATCAGTATCCATCTGGTTCAAACAAGAATGTTATCGTTGAACGTCAAGTGATATCACAAACAACGCCAGCAGGTCGTCAACAACAGCATTACACCTATGAAACGGTTGAGAATACGAAAAATGTTATCGGTTCGGATAGTACACAATCAAAGCATGTGACAAGCCAACAATCAGAACGAACAACTCAACGCAGCAGCAGCAGCAGCAGCAATACTCAACAGACGACAAGAATGAATCGTGGCGGTGATACAAGCGAAAATGTTTTATTCGAAAAACATACGATTGTCACATCAACACCAAAAGGTGTTCGTCAACAAAACTATTCGTCGGACATTTTAAATATGAACGATAAACGATCGGATTCAAAATCAATGGCCTCAACATCACAATCCGATAAGATAAATAATCAATTACATTTGCGACAGCACGATACCACTTCCACAAATACAATGTCTTCATCATCAATGGCAACAACATCAACATCACGATATGGCAAAAGTAATGTTCATAATTCAACATCAAATATATCGAGCATTATCCATGATGATCATCATCAATCGTCAACTGGATGTCCCGTACATCGATCGAGCATCACATCAACTGAACGCCAACGACGCGATTATGTGTCATCGTCACCAGATCAATCACAAACAAATACCCAACAACATCATCGAAAAAATGTTTTAACTTCTTCGACCGATGTGAATAATTCTGTTTTCCATCGAAAGGCTAATCTTGCGTCCAATTCAAATGAAGCATTGCATTCGAATAGCATGAGCTCAACGGCGGCCATTCAACGTAAGAGCATTTCAAATTTACACGATCAAGCCATTTACAATACATCATCGGATCGCAAGAGTTACAGTTCAATGCATCGTCAAGGTAAAGAGACCGTTTCCCAAAGCACCACCACCACCACCAATTCAAATGCTCAACATGGCGGCACAGCATCACATTCATATAGTAGTAAACATGTTGTAAGCGGCGGCGGCGGCGGCACCAATACGGGCAATAATCAATTGCGTCAATCGGGTACCGAACGCACACAAAAAATTGTGACAAAAGATAATTTATCATCGTCGTTGGGCGGTGAATTTTATGGTAAATCCGAATCAAAAGCATATGGTAGCTTTACCACGGGACATCAACATCATGTACTCGATCGTGCCGTAAGTCGTCGTTCGAATCAATCAAGCATTAGCTTTGGTGATGGTCCCAGTCACGGTTCAAGCGTTTATCGTCGCGAATATGCGGTCGTACATTCAGGACCATGTCCAGCTGCTCACATCGAAAAATCCACATTCACCCACACCCGTGACACAAAATCGCATAAATTCTTCAAGACAAATCGAGAATAATTCAACCATAATACACACATACGACCGCAAACTTTTCGAATTACTACTACATAAAGAATTGTGATCATTGGCATTTCAACACCAATCGAAATTTTCGATATTTATCAAAAGGAGAGTGAAAAAGAAAAGCAATTTATCTCGACAAACTTTTTATTTTATTCCTTTTTTCTTTTAATTTTCTATTTCTATTCTATGTTATCAATCTATTCAGTTTATTTCACTTATTTCTAATTTCACTGAATGTGAACAACAAAAAAAATCAATTAAATTTTTACTCAAAACATTTATATTTTCTTTTTGTATGAAAATCAATTCAATATTACCGCAATCAATTGATTTTTATTATTATTATTATTAGTATTATTATTATCGCATATTGTCAAATGAACTACTAACACAGGGTGCTATACAAATTTAAATGGCCAATTGTTATTTTTTCCATTTCTATTTGAGAAAATACTATTTACAGATTGTATTTGTCTCTATGTCAATTGTTAACAGCATCGAATGCTTAAAAAAATTCAATAAAAAATAAACTCATGTGCCTTTCTTTGTATACTTGTCAGTTGTTATGTTACATTTTTAACTCAAATATATAAAGATTATATTACAATTGTTGAAAAAAAAAAAAATGAAATCAATAAACTGCTTTTTTCATATACTAATGAAAATATTTGGTATTTTGATTACTTTTTCTGTACCTTAATAAGATGAGATGTTTGAAGAGAAGAATCAACCTTTTATCGAGAGATAGAGAGGGAGAGAGAGAGTGAGAGAGAGAGCGAGAGAAAGAGAGAGAGATGGGAAGAAAATCTTTTTCGACCATTAAAAATAAATAATTTGAACTTGTGTAATTTGAACTAGATGATCAATTGATCATAAAAAAACGATATCGCGAAATCACAGCGGATGGCAGTTCGCGCGAGTGACGAAACCACATTAGTGTGTTGAAAAGTCGAACTCGCTATATATACACGTAATATACGAAATCCAGACCCAGAAGGCCTTTGGCCATGATTGATGTATGGTTGGAAAGGCCTTGGGCCATAGATCAAGAAAAAATGTCAAAGTTCGAAAATCGGTCCACCTGTCTTCTAAATATGGTCCTTTCAAGAAAAGGTCATAATTCAGTTCTACGGCCATAGATGGCATTAAATGAGGTCGTTGACCCTTGAAACATCGATATTCGGATTCTAGAGCTCAATACCTTTCCAACGACCCCCTAACCGTCGAAATCGATCAATCCGTTCGAAAAATTTATTGTTTCAAAAATTTCATATGAATTCCTATGAAAAATCAAAATGTCTGTCTGTCTGTGGCCAATTTTGCGTAGTTGTTTCTGATCTTTTTGAAACTTTCTGTGATTAAAGTACATAAAAAACTAAGACTTTTTTGTTCCGGCACTTTTCGATTTGGCAGTCATGTTGACCGTGGCCGGCCTCCAAAAGTCACTTTTTGACTTTTGTCCCTACAGACAACGAGGCACATACGAAGCCTGATCATGCCCGTAACTAACAACACCTCTAATGCGTATTCCGAGTACTAATCGAAGTTTGTGACAATATGACCGTCACAGTTTGGCAAAATCATAATGAACCGATTAAACTGCGTTAAACTGTTAAAACAAAACAGTAGAAATGAATAGATTTTAATTTTTTACATTTTTGAAAATAAAAAATCTTTTGTTTTTTCAATTTTGTGAGATCAGAAAGTCCACAATATTCAAATATATTAAATTAATAAAAATGAATTGGTTGACATAACCTCACTTTTGTGTCATACTCGTGATAATCCGATTAAATAATTATTAAAACGAAAGTGAGGTTATGTCAACCACTTCATTTTTTATTAATTTATTACAACGTATTCACAAGTAAGTTGATTCTAAAAAAATTATATTAATCGAGTTGGAGAAATGGGAATATGTTGAATTGCAAGAATCCCAAGTTCTAAAGAAATGTCCAAACCATTTACCTAGAGCCTTTTGCATAAAATATGATTCAGTCAAATCTACTGGCGATAAATTAATTGGTTACTTTAGTCACAAAATTGAAACGATTGAATACCTTATTAAAAATTTTAAAATCATTTTTCAGTGGTAACTGCTGGAGGATCGGTAGTTTATAAAGCAAATGAAAACGCATCACCAATACTTGTTGGCTTTCCATCGTGAAAATTTCAAAAATAAGGTATTTGCATTGATATTACATCGGAAGCTTCATTAATTTTGAATGAATTTAAGAAAACAACGAACGGAAAAGCTGAAGGCAGACATTAAAAACACTGTGCTTCACTCAAAATGTGATGGATACGAGACCCATCGTTTTTACATAATTTGGGTATGCTGATTTCAATGGCATCACCCGTTTTTCTCTAACACGTCAGGATTTTCCACAATTTTCAGAGTCAGTTAAAAAAAATTGATTTGGTTATTCCCCTCTGAAGTCCACATTTTGAAGTAAAATTGGTATCCATTCAAACGCTCTGAAAATGAGTATTTGGGGATTTTTTGGCATGAAAAGACCGAACATGATGCTGTTTATGCTATAAAATGAGGTTTGAATACACTTGCCACACGTTGAAATTTTTGGTCATTTTTGACCATTTTGGATACTTTTTGTGTGGTAAGCAGAGTATTGCTCAGCGCTGCTGCCATCCAGAGCATATTAAAATATCTTGCTGAGAATGCGTCGTCCGTAACATGCGAAGGTACATAGCAGTTTATACATCACAGCGATCAACAATACATGCATTGTTCTCTATTCAATCGTTTGAATGTTTTGAGTCACATAATCGTGAAGAGAACAATGGATTCATTCTTGTTCGCTGTGATGTATAAACTGCTACGTACGTTCGCATGCGTAGGACGACGCATTCTCAGCAAGATATTTTAATATGCTGTGGATGGCAGCAGCACTGAGCAATACTCTGGTGGTAAGTGTATTCAAACCCAATTTTATTATGTAAAAATGGTGGGTCGAGACGAGTCTCCATCACATTTTTAAAGTTAAAAAATGACGCACAGAGAAATTTTCAATTGATTTCAACAGCAATGATCTTTTCTACTGATTTTTTTTAGAATTGAATTTTGGAAAAATAAACAGATCACTGGGCTTCTGGGAGCTTAGTTTAATTTATTTTTTTGTTTGTATTTGTTTACTTTGAGTTCTTTTTATCCAAATTTGTCACATTGAAAAATTCCAATAGCTTTATTATTTTTTATTGATGTATTGTATAATTTTTTTCGTGGCTTCATGTGCAAAAACACATTTTAGCTAGGTTTGAAAAACAGATGAAATAATAGCAAATAATGAGAAACTGGAGCATTTTCAGCCTTAGTTTAATTTTTATTCAACGATTTTTACCAACGTTACAACTAATTTCACACTAAAGATCTGCATCAGTATTGTATTTACTCGTTTTTGTTTCGTTTACACTCGCATTTATCATGCTGACGATGATGATTCTCCGGTCTATGAAAGTCATTCAAATTGTGTTTGTTTAGTCACGCGCTTAACTTCAGCCAACGCTTCTTCTAATTGCTCAACGATTTTTGCGTGATTTGGAGTCGCTTTACCAGATAACATTTCATCATTGCAAATAAAATTGCATGCTTTATGGACCTTTTCGAAACGTGCGAAATATTTACATTTTTCCTAAAAAAAATCCGTAGATAATTTACTATGTTGAAAACACAGTGCACTTTTCATTTTCTTACCAACACAAATGCCTTCTTTCCATTCGCACTTTTCTTTTTCATCACTAAGCCTTCTGGTTCAAACGAATTAATTCCTACCATATACCATATGGTATACACCAATGACTCAAGATCATCCATCGCTCTTCGGTTGTTGCCGGCCCACCATCCTGATGATGCAAATTTCCTCGTAGCAATCTTGTGTATTTTACCAGGCAACGCGGCATTATCAAAATCTAATAGACAAAAAAAACACAATTACAAAACACACTTATAGAATTATATATAGAAGACTACTTACCGCTAATAAATACCGCATTGCCACGAATAAATATGTTTTCTGGCTTGATATCATTATGTATAACTCCTTTGCTATGTATATAACTCAATGCCTTAACCTAAATTTAATAAAAACGAAATTTTCCATCAATAAATATTCGAAATTAGGATTACACGTTGCGCATACCGAATGTAAGAACACATATACGATACCAAACATGGTAAAACCATTTTTTAGACGATCCTGTACATTTCCATCGAAACGAGTTATCGCAATGAATGGATTATATCCGAACAATTTTCCGATTTCATAAACATTTGGGATTCCTTTTTCTTCAATTTTTGGATTACCGACAGCATTCAGGGCTCGATAAACTGCCAATTCGTTTTTTATAAGATCATTATACATGCAGATTTTGACGGCAACGTCGATGTGACTAATTTTAGCTGCCCATACAAGCGAAGCGCCAGAGAAGCCTAGCTCTTTTGGCAATAGCATTATATCAGAACCATTTACTTTTCCTCCATTCGATGACAAACAATCTTCGATCTTATCCCTTATATCATCTTCATCAGCCTGAATATGGAATTGTATTGTAGGCATTGTATTCGCAGATTGAATTATTGAAAATTACTTACTTCGATTATTGAAAAGCCAATTAACAAAAGAAATGTTAAAAATTGAATTTTAAAATGATTTTTCAACATTTTTTATCACAAAATAAAAGTGTTGATCCCCTGAAGACACTGCCTAAACTGATATCTGATCTGTTATTTTCCATTCATTTATTTTGCGTTTGAGAATGGAATTTCGCATTTTTTTTTTTTGAAAAATTTGTTACACAGTGACGAATATGTTTTTGTTTGCTTCGCTTTGCCTCGATAAAATACGTGCTTGAAAAATCATCAGTATTTCACTTTGGGTTGATCGCACATCACGGGAGTTATATTACAAAGCCTATACCAGTAGGTGCGAAGTAAAAGGTGTTTTCCCACTCCTGAAATCCGAAACAAACCAATTTACATTGTACCAATTTACATTTAGTAAAAAATTGGTCATTTTTGCTCTTTAATTTTGAAATCACTCCCTCCTTGCACATATCATATGCATAGCACATGTTCGAATTTTCAATTTTTTTTTGTTAATGGAAAAAACTCCCATATCTCCTTGTGAGTACCTCCGATCAACTTTTGAATGACACAAAAACGTCAAAAATTCTTTTTTTCATATATCTGAAATATTTGTTGTTTGAAATTGAATGGGGTGAAAGAATTAAAGTTAAAAATAATATTAAAACTTATTTTTTTTACATATAATTGTTTTTACTATACTTTTCATACAATTTTGCGTTTAATTATCATTTTATTTCGTTCTTATCATTTATTAAAAAATTGCGAGAAAAAGAAAGTATGTCGATTTCAAATTAGTCACTAAATGAATAGACTATAGAGGCGTAGTTATTAAATGCATAACAATGGATGAACTTTTTTTTCATTAAATAAACACTCTTAAATTCTCTATTAAAAAAAACGGTGCTTTTATTCAATCTTTCTCCTCGGTCAAACTTAGAAATGTTTAAGTACTTGTTTTATTACCAATCAATAATGATAAATTATTAAAAATATCGTTGTTGTTGCTAGTGCTGTTGCAAGGGCATCTTCCATAGCATGCTTCCGTCAAGGTTTTATTGAATTTTTGTTCGCAACCCAAAGAAAAACGATTGCCGTAGTTGACCCCATCCGAGCCGCAAACGGGGCTATAGATGAGAGGGATAACACATAAACAACTTCCATTAAATGCTTTTTTTAGGTCTGAATCTATTGTTTGTGCACATTTTAATGCACAATCATTTCTATAAGTTTGACGATTTGAACCGCATACGGAAGTTTCATAATCACAGGAAGTTTCATTGCAAATACATGGTTCTGAACTGCAGTTTCCTTTGTGAACAAATGATAAGCACGATTCATTTTTGTATGCACTTTTGCAGTAAAGAGTACATTCACTGTCATACGTTATGCCATCAGATCCACACACTCTCTCCCTTTCTTTGGGCTGTCCACAATTTTTCATGCAATCGTTATAACCATACTTTTCTACTGGTTTTTCTGGCTCTACTGGCTTTTCTGGTTTTGCCGTTACTGATTCTACTGGTACGAATGGATCAACTGGCACCGCATAAGTCAATGTCAAAGTCACTACGATTATAAAAAGCACACTTTTCATTTTGCCTGATTTTCAAATACATCTCTTTCTTTCAAATGAATGCCATTTATATTTGCTTCTTTATCACCATTTGTGCAGATATCACAAAAATACAAGAATTACCTAAGATAAAGATATACTTTATTTGCACTTTAATTGTTGGCTTTAATTCTTGATTCAATAGCTATCACGAATTCCGTTTATTGACGATTTTAACTTCAAATGTTTTCATAAAAACGACCCAATCACTGGATTTGCACTGTGTAAGGCGTTCCAAATTATTACGTTCGCGTGTAGTTGAATGATATACATTTTTATGTAGTCATATGGACAATTATCATTGTAATCATTATTTTTCAATGAAATTTACTTTTAATTTATCACATTTGAAAAGAAAATTTCGTTTCTATGTTGACAAAAATTGTAATTGAGATAAAAAAAATCGTACTTTTTTTATTTTATAGCGACAATATCTTTGGAAATCCCCATTGAGGATAATCAGGTGTCATAAAATCGGTTTTATCTTTATACACAGTTGCACACATTGCGTAATGTAGAGAAATATGAAGACAGGCCTGGATTCTACCTTCTCTTAAATGTTTTGCTCAAAAATATATAATGGCATTGGATGGTTCTAAAAAAGCCTATTCAAAATTCTGGAAGCAGCTATTCAATAACAAACAAAGCCATTTATTCCGATGACAATAGCTCTTTATCAAAGCCTAGTATTTACCTAAAATCAGAGCATGAAGTCAGTACGACTTGTGATGCAACGCGCTTGTTTGGCAAGCGCACTATCTCAGTAGTGCTTAGTGCACTTGCCAAGAGGTGCTCGCCAATTCATATTATACAGCCCAGCGAACACGCTCTTTGTGAATGCTCTGCCGAAAATATATTTTGTATTTTACGTTGTTCCCGCCAAATGGGCCCTTAAAATCTCACTATAGTAAATGATGAAGATAAAATAAAATAAATAAATGAAGTGGATAATTATTTTTTATTTGGCGCAAAAGATAAAAAAATGCTTTAGCACTGTTTCCAAAAGATTATCATCAGTGGAAAAAAGTTAATTTTCATAAACGAATTTTTAGATTTGTTGTCATGTATGAAATAAAATCATCAATTATTATTTTATGCATCATATTCCGATTTCAATTCACCGAGAGAAATTAATACAGTTGAGAGCTACTTGAATCAAGGCAAAAAGTAGTGCTGTAAGAGAAATGAACGATATGAATTGCTTTACACCATGAGCCATTTGCTTTACACCATTTCGTATTTCGTTTCACATCAACGCGGATGTGGCTCATCAACTAGAAATTCAGGCAGCTGTATGTGCGTTGAATAAAATAAAAGGGAACTCTTGCATTCAGTAAAAGAGAAAAGATATCACAATGAACATGTTGTGCACTCAGCTTTCTGAATTTTCAGACCACCCCAGCGCTGATGAGTGAAACTTTGTTTCGTTTTCACCAAAACTTTTTATAGTACCTTCGGGTCAGTGGTTCGCCAACATTTATGCAGACTAAATGCTCTTTCGCAATCATCAGCTCCTTGTATATTTCTGCAAGCGCCGAATAAATTATCAGCAGAAATTTTGAGTTCTCCACTCACATCATCGAAGTGCGATGCGATTTTTTCCAAATGCGGATCACCATTTTCATGAATCACATTGCTGAAAGAAAATCACCGATTATTTCTTAATTAAAAAGAAATGTTTTCTTATTTAATTAATGTATTAAGTAATTACTTACAATTCTCTAAACATACACGACATATAACATTTAATTTCTCGATATCCTTCATGATTTTCGCCGATATCAAATTCCGCGATCGCATCTGAAAAAAACACATTTGAATTCATTAAAAATGCCGGTGCACAGAAAGAAAATATCAGCCGACGCTATACGCAAAACCGACTGGTACGTGCGCTCATACGTTTTTACATCTTTTACATCTAGTGACCATACGATTTTTCGACTGATTCGTTACT